GACAGGCTTACAGCCTAAAGTGTTAACACAAGAGCCTCGAGAGAGGCAGAGCATTAAAACCCTTAAGAGAGAGCGTAGTCTAAAAATGAGGCCAAATAGGAGGCACCTATAAGCATCATATTATCAATAGTAGGGTAGTTGTGCCTCGATTTAATACTGTTTGATAAGTTTGTCAAATAGTTGAATATTTCTGCATAATCATTTAAAATATTTTTTCAAGATATTAAAATATTAAAATAATATTTATCTTATATTTATTATTTTGAGATTTTTACTGGAAATTACTGTTGAAATCCGATGGAGAAATACCTTCTTTTGGATCTTTCTTGAGTGCTTGCTATTTATGAACTTTTATCCACAAGTGGAACAGAGCAGCGGGTAATATATAAAGTATTATCAAAATATTACAACATTTAAAATAATTTTCATAACATTAAATATTACATTTTAAAAATGTTTCAAAAAATATTAAATAATTTTAAAAATGTATCCAAGAATATTAAATTGAGGTATTGGCCGAAGTAAAAATAAAATCCACACTAGCAGGGAGAAGGCACAAAATCGCCCAATAGGGTACATGGACAGGGAAGTGCAAGGCTTTAACAGGGTTATTAAATATTCCATTTTATGTATTTTGCCTAAATGTAGAAATTTGGTAATCAGCTCATCAAATATATATTGTATAGTGAGTAAATCCTGATAGTGGATATATTCCTAATTCTTGATAAAGTGTGAGAATGTTGAAAAAGATACGGTGACTAAGGATAGACTTTTCACATCCTGGCTGTATTGGAAATACTAGACCTCCATGTTACACTGTACTGTTTAGTTTATGATTAGATACAATGGTTCTTAATATTCCTATATGTGGTTGAATAAATATGTGTTTTGGGGGATTACAGAGAAACTGGATGGACACATATAATGATCTAGGACTTGAGATGCCCTCACCCATTCTTTAAGGGGGAAAAGTGAGTAGACAGCCAGAAACCTATCCATTTTGTGACATTAATCTACTTACGCAACCATAGTTGTGTAGACAGGATGGACCCTAGAGCAACCTATAAGTTAATATGTAAGTTAATATGAAAGATTCATTAATCATCTTATTTTTTTTTTTAGGTAGCGGAAATTATACAATTTCAAAATAACAGAATTTTTGTTGTTATATACTAAACCTAAGTAATAAGGGATGCTTTAAAACCGCATAGCATAAAAATGGATTATGCTAAATGTTTTTTATGTCTTGATTCCATTATTCTGGTAAATAACTTTTTTTTTAAAATAATAAATATTTAATGTAAATGTATAATGCATAAAATGTTATATGGCGACAGTTAAAACTGAGTCTTCTGGTCCTCAGACTGAGCAACTGTCCTCAATTTAAATGCCATAAAAATTATAGCAAATATATTTTATTTTTTGTTTCTCATTTTGACTGGCACAGTTCCTGGAAAGCTGTAGTTATGAGTCTTGGAGACTGAAATAGTATTTTTATTTTATTTGTACTTAAAACTCCGGAGGATTGTCAGTTCAATCACTTACAAATCGTGCTGTTTAGACGCTTTCATAAGCACTTGAACAATGTGAATAAATGGATTTGGCAAGCAAACTCATTTCACCGCAAAAGCTAATAAAGGAATCCCTTACGGGATTTGAAGCTTTTACGTTTTAGAGTCTTGTTGTAGAAGTAGCTCTGGACATTTTAAAATGGTATTCTCTGTTCTTATTCCTAAATGTATTTAAAACATAACATTTAAAAAAAAAAATGTATTTCCGTCAAATCACACCACCTTCCGTGCTGTGGTATAAGCTATTTTTGCAATATGATTGAAAAGGATTTACAGAAATGATTCGGACATTATTTGTTTATTAGCTTAAAAGTAACATAATAAACAATAAAACCTAAACTATTAAAAAAAACGTTTTAATTCATTTTCGCAGCCAAAAAAAACCCTGAATTGACAAAAGGGGAAATGGTTGCATTAATAATTCTTCCACTAGGTGGCAGTATTGAAGAGGGATTTGCCCCATTTTAAATTCAACATTGTCAGTTAAAATAAAACATAATTATACATCCTCAAAAATACAAAAATAGCATCAGTCCAGAAATACTACCCAAAGAACCATTGCTATTCTACTCTTGGAAGATGATTTCAAAGGGGGTCTTACATAGGGAAATGTAAGCGTGCTTGTGTGTGTACACTAATGCCTTTTATCTAAGGCATCTCAAATTAATATTCTGTGTAAAATGCCGTATAATTGTAAATTGTAAAATATTGAACTATGTAAAATTCTTTAACTAATAACTGCATTTTTTGTTTTTCAAAAACTGTTAGTTTGATAATTCTTGCTTAACCTTTTCAAAACCAACATGTATAAATTAATGTAAAATCAATTTCTTAAACAAACATGGTGGGATGCATGGTAGGCAGCCTTGCGAACAATATTTGTTAATTTCAGAGGAACTTGATTTATAAAATATTCCTACACTACAGGCAAGAGCTCACTGTGAGCAGCAGCAAGACACATGGTCGTCCAATCAGAAGCTAAAACAGTGTCATCTTATCTTGCTCCAGAGCGAAAGAGGTAAGTTAATGTATCTCACTGCGTCTATAGCTGTTTAGATTTATTAAAGAGATATATAGCTAAAGTTCATGTCCTACTGTAAGACAAGTAAGATTCATACAATTAAAGGACCACTATAGTGCCAGGAAAACATACTCGTTTTCCTGGCACTATAGTGCCCTGAGGGTGCCCCCACCCTCAGGGTCCCCCTCCCGCCCGGCTCTGGGGAGAGGAAAGGGGTAAAAACTTACCTTTTTCCAGCGCTGGGCGGTGAGCTCTCCTCCTCCGGTCCTCCTCTTCTCCTCCCGTCGGCTGAATGCGCACGCGCGCATTCAGCCGGTCACATAGGAAAGCATTCATAATGCTTTCCTATGGACGCTGGCGTGCTCTCACTGTGAAAATCACAGTGAGAAGCACGCAAGCGCCTCTAGTGGCTGTCAATGAGACAGCCACTAGAGGAAATAGGGAAAGGCTTAACCCATTCATAAACATAGCAGTTTCTCTGAAACTGCTATGTTTATGAAAAAATGGGTTAACCCTAGAAGGACCAGGCACCCAGACCACTTCATTAAGCTGAAGTGGTCTGGGTGCCTAGAGTGGTCCTTTAACTGAGAATTATAGAGAGTTGACAAGAGCACTGGCGATTGGGTTGAGGTCCAAAATTGTGACCTAATGCTATGGGTCTCCAGTGATAGAAACAGTCCTATCTTAATCATCACGCCACTAACAGCTGGCCACAATGAATTAGTTACTGTGGCAACACTGTCTTGCCCAGTGCCAAGGGAGTTTGCTGATACCTCAAATAGTTTAGGGAAGGTGTAGAATTAATTTTGTTACATATTTTATTCCAGTTGAAGAGTTATGAGTTATTGAACACAGGCATTCCAAACTAATACTATGTAAGACAGGCCTCTAACAAAACGTTAAGAGCAACTATTTGCAAATAGTCAAGGTGGAACGTTTCCGAATTTGAGAATGTCCAATTCAGCAGTTTTTTCTAAAATTTGCAGTTGCCTATCAATTTTTTATAATTCAAATTTTAGGTGTGGCTGGTTTAATCTAAAATGCAGTATATATTTTATAACAATTTTCCATAGTTGTTTTATTTAGATATTATTAATGAATTTGATGGATATCAGTAATTATTCATATTGGCATTCCTTATCATAAATAAAGGATTATATTGATGTAGTTGTAGACAGTGCAATAATAAACCTTATCTGCTATTATTTCATGTTCTTCTGTTGTGATGTTTTTATTTTTATTTCTAAATTAGATAAGCGGCGCTGTGTGTATTGAAGTATTAAATGTATCTCACCGAACTGTGTTATTAAAAAACAATCGTTTTTTTAATCTAAATTAAAAATCATTTTGAAGGTCAAACTTATTAAATCCCATACTTCCATGGTAGTGATTGGATCTAATGTGCAGTGTCTTCAAGCCGATCATAAAATACATTGTTTTGCCATTTATTTTATAAATATTTACCATATTTACACAAATGAAAGTGTTGTCCAAGTTTTATAATTAACACATGGAATTATTTTCTTAAACTATGCATTTTTGTATTTCAAAACTAAATAGCTTTTTACGTCTCCTGTAAAAGTTCTGTAATTCTGCAGAAAAAAAAGTACCTTTCTTAAGGTAGGTACTCCAAGGGCATAAAGTTTATCCTTAAAGATCTAACATTAAAACTTTGTTTTAAATAAAAGTCTGTGGAAAAAAACTTTGAAGTGACAGGCTGAGTAAAATTGCTTCAAGCTGCTCTATACCTATGCTATCCACAAAGGATGAGTATGTGAAAAATTTTACTTTGTCTTCTTTTATTAAATTCTTTATTTTCAGTGCAAAATATAGAGCTTATACAAACTTGTTGCTACAACAGCCATGGCATATTTTTCAACAGTATAACATGTTACATATAAGGCATAGGTAAAGTACAGTTTGCACATATTTAGTTTTTTAGATAGGCTGGTGGGTTGTAATGATAGGTGGTGTATTTCATACTGAGAGTGTGAGACACTCTGAGGTCACTAACAACACATTTGTAGCCTGGTTTTGGTGGGGTGAAGTGGGTACTGGGCCTAATGGGGTTGGCCTCTGTGCTTATGGTTGTCTACACCCAGTAGTTGTTCCTGAGGTTAACTCCCCATGTGTGGAACATGGTCAGGTACTTATGTCTATGGAGTAGTCGAAAAGATTGGCTTTGTTTGTTTGGTGGATCGCTATGAGGAACCTAGTTATGGGTGGGCTAGAGGCAGAGTTTGAGCCATCGCTTGTTAAGGCACAGCTAGAATGGGTCTTTGGGAGGTGGAATTGGAGCGTGCGAAAGTGGTCTGTTCATACAGATTGGTTTTCGTGGTTACAGATGGGGTGCATTTATCAGTACGGAGTTTTTCAGGTAGCGGGGAAGCTCCATTGAAAATAATGCCCCTTTTCCCTGGGACCATGAGAGGAGGGGGTAATGCTCCTGAGTGTGAGGGTGTATTCCCTTCAAGCTGTATTCATGTCCTGTGGACAGTGTGCTGGGTATGCGTTACTCTTCTGATGGTTAAAGGTAGGAGTAACTGGGATGAGTAGGGAACCATTTGCAGAACGTAAATTGTCCCAACTTATAAGCAAGATATAACCATAGTTGGTTTGGAGTCAGGTCGTGGCGCCTTTCTTTCCTCTGTGTTAGAGGGTGTCTAGGCCCCTGGTTGAGGGCAGAATGCTGTGGCTATGTTTTGATTTGTTAGTCCCAGTGTCTCCATCAGAGCCAGGCCTTCCTTGGGATCTGAGGCCTTGTAGTGTTTCCCCTCCTTGGTTATCCAGAGGGTATTCAGTGTCGCCCACCTGTAGGTAATGCCTGCTTCCTGAAGAGGTTTGGTGAGAGGCCGCATTGCTTTGTGCCATATGAGTGTGTCTCTGCTCAAGTCTTGGAAGAGGGAGATTTGGCAATTCTCAAAGTCATATGAGGTCCTCCCTTGAAATGCCTCCAGCACCCCCAGCTTGTCAGAAATTATGCAGCAGTGTAAGATAGGATCTCATGGTGCCGACGTGGGGGCTTGGGATGATTTTGCGATTCTGTACACTCTGTCAAACATAAACAGTTTGGCCTGTTTGGACGGGAGGACTGTTGCCACTAAGTGTCTAATGAAATGGGGCAGTTCTTCCAATTGTAGTGTCTCTTGGACCTTCTTGTTTTTATATTTTTTCTCCTGCCCCTGTCAACCCATGTCTTGTTAAGATTATATAATATCTATTTTTGTACAAGTAGAGATTGTAGCTGGATTAGTCCAGTGATGCTGATGTAAAAATCAGATAAAAGTCGTATCTTGTTATGCATTTTTTATTGGAATAACAGAATTTTGTAATGACAAGCTATCGGGAGAACCTCCCTTTCTCATGTCTAAAGCATTTCTGAACAAGGAATTGAAACTCAACTTTGAATTCTATGTGTCGTCTTTGCTCAGAAATGCTTTAGACTTGAGAAAGTGAGGCTCTCCCGAAAGCTTGTCATTACAAAATTCTGTTAGTCCAATAAAAAAGGTATTACAAGATCCGAATTTTATCTGTTGTTTACATCTATTTTTTGTACATATATTTATGTTTTCACATACATAAATCTTTAAGTAAAGAGGCATGTTTTAAAAATTTATTTACTTAACTCATTAGATTAATTTTATTTGCTTAGGAAATACATAGGTCCAGATGGGCCCACATCTTTAATGAGATCCACGGAAATCCTCTTAGATGACACTTTAAAAAATGAGGATGAGATTATACATTATAAAGATCGGAAGCAGCTTGCACTGATTCCTCTGGGTCTATTCTTTAAATAGTGAATTGCAGTAGTGAGCTAGAAAGACGTGCTAATTATCGAGTGATATAGCAAAGCTGGGGAAAACCTCTATTTCTGCTGATTGTTGATTTTTTTTTTAAACTCTGTTATTTAAATCTAAAGATCTAGAGTCGATATAATAACACTGAAAGTAATGATTTTACATTTAGTGGTCAACTCACTGTGTGTAGAGCTGAGGTTAGTTGACCCCTAGATGTAAAATCTTTTTTTGTGTGTTATATTGACTTTATATTCATTCAGGGAAACATGTACTCGCACAATACAACACACTTTCACCTTTTTTGTTGTTTTTCCTTCAAGTATCTATAACTATAATTGTGGACTTTCATTAATTATTCAAATTAATTATTACCAGATAACAGGGTTGGCTAAAACATTTTTTCCAAAGAAGGAGAAAATTGGAAAGCTTGTAAGAAAAGGTCTCTTTCAAAAGATGATATTTTGCAAAGACCTCCAATGTTGACTTAGCCACTTGCAGTGTGGTGGCCCGGTGCTGCGGGGAAAATAAGTTTTTCTTACTTAGAGCTATCCATTGTGGCTGCCACCATGTCCAACCAGTGGGTACTCTTTAACCCCTGGTCTTAATCCCGGTGACAGAGGGTACTTCAGTGCTGTATTATCCTCCTTGTGTCACATTTTGTCAGACTTGGGAAAAATGCATAACGCAAAGTTGCCCCTATTTTGTCCTAGATCTTTTGACTGCATTCAAATTTCAGTGAAGTTCCAACACAGTCTATGTGAGATTCTAACTTTATAGAATACTCTTTTTTTTGGGAGGGGATTGTGACAGAGCCACTTAAAGAAACCACTGTAAAAATGAGAAATATGGAGCTTTATTTGTGAGAAAGGTAACATTTGGAATTTTGCCCTGATCTAGTGTGCTATACTGATTTAAATAAATTATATTATTACACATCAGTTATACTCAACAGTCAAAAATTACAAATGAGATTGCACTCACTTTCAGTAAATAAGGAAACCTCAGCTACGGTAACACCAGACCGGGAGGGACAATCCCTATCAAACCAGCATAGAATACTAAATATGGGCACACAAAGATGTACCATTAGGAAGATTCTATCCCACTGAAAACCATATCATACCCTCCAGGGGTGATTTGTTTTATTCGCCAGGACTAAGCTTTCACTTGCCGATGGCAAGCAGTGAGTGAAAATCTTAAACCCTGATATAAATGTAAAATCTAAAGTGTAAAGTGAAAATAACATCGAACGTTATGTACAGTATTGCATGACTGTATGAATAAAAGCCATCATCCATAATACAGAGGGTCTTTCAAGATTCATAGTACTGTAGCCCCTCTATACAGCAAGATAATCCATACACCATGTGTCTTTAAAACCTTCATGATGTACATTGGTTAATTGGCTTCCTTTGATAACTTGTGAGCTTTAACATATAAGAAATATAATGATAAATAAGTAAAAAAAAAATAGAAATAAAAATAAATGCTTCTGACTGTGCCTTCTCTTGCCTGCGGCGTAGTCTTCTGAACCCAAACTTTAAATCCATCACTTATAATAGAGATCCTGCTTATGTCAGCAAGTCGTTATCCCACATACTGTTGTGTCCTTGGACATTCTGTTTTTTTTTTTACAAAAATGCAATCAGACTTTCTTTAAAAATCTTTTTTAATTTATTATGTTATCACATCCTCTATGAGAAACCTGACTTTCAGTGACTATTTCAAGATTATTAATCAACAGATTTAAGTAAACTGGGTTAGCTTTGGGAATGGGAAACCATTGGATTGGCTAAAATCGTCAAGGCCAATCGTTTTGGCCAATCAGCACCTCCTCATAGAGATGCATTGAATCAATTAATCTCTATGAGGAAAATTCAGTGTCCCCATGCAGAGCGTGGGGATGCTGTACGGCAGGGCTGCCTAATGTGCAGCCCCGAGCCAGGAAGCCCTTCTAGTGGCCATCTGAGGAGTGGCCACTTGGAGGTGTCCCTAGGGGCAATGTAAACACTGCCCTTTCTCTGAAAAGGCAGTATTTGCATAAAAATGCCTGAAGGGAGCTATTATACTCACCAGAACAACTACATTTACTTGTAGTTGTTCTGGTGACTTTAGTGTCCCTTTAAGCCACTCTTCTATCCAAAAACAAAGATTCCCACCCAAAGCTTTACATTTGCACAGTAACCTTTTAGCGTGGAGCTGTATTTATCTGTGTATCTACAAACCTGTGTGGAGATGCCTTAGGAAAATCCAAGTAGATCTCATCAGCTGCAACATCGTGATCTATACATCTTCTGACTTCTTCACAGAATGCAATTAAGTTAGTTTGACATGGTCTGCCTTCCATTAAGCCATGCTGACTACTACTAATGACACTTGTTCACAATAAATTCTAGCATATTATCCCTTAGTAACCTTTCAAAATTGTTTTCAACCACAGATATTAAGTCCACGGTGATTGATGTTGTTTTTACTGATTTATTGTAACACAATGTATGCACAATAGGAGAATTGCTACAGGAAAATCAATTACAATGTATATACATTGGAGTTTTTAAAGAACAGAGTTTTTGACCAGACATTCATAATCTTAGGACAGCTTCAAAACCACATGACCATTTTAATTGAATAGGGTCTCTGTCTCAAGCAGAACACAACACATACCTCAACCAGTTGAACCATTGCCAGGTCCACTCTTAATTATGGAATAGACATTAGATAGATAGATAGACAGACAGACAGACAGATAGACAGATAGACAGACAGACAGACAGACAGATAAATAGATAGAGAGAGAGATAGATAGATAGATAGAGAGAGAGAGAGAGAGAGAGAGAGATAGACAGACAGACAGACAGACAGATAGATAGACAGACAGACAGACAGACAGACAGACAGATAGATAGATAGATAGATAGATAGATAGATAGGCATGAAGAATAATTTACAAATGCTTATACAGGGCCTCTGAAAATAAGCCATACGTTAAAAGCATTTTATTTCTAATTCATAAATACCGATATACACTTAAAAGTTCAAGTCCCATTTCCATAGCTGACTAACTAATTATAAAAATATATACTTGACTGTTACTTGAATAACTGAGATATGTTTTACACGTATTTATTCAATGCCTACATTTATTAAGTACATATACCTATAAAAAAACAAGACAATAAATATATCATGTACATTAATGCTTCAATACATAAAACAGCAAAGCAAAAGACATGAAAAACACACAGAAATTATTATTTAATAATCGTGCCATGAACTGACGTCCTTCAAATACAATATTTCAGCAGATTTTAAACTCCAGTTTCTTCTGTAGAAACTCTACTGAGCTTTATTCTGAGTCATATCTAATGCTTAGACAGCCAATAGTAATAACGATAATATAAAGGTTACTAGCTGGTAAAGATGTTATCATTTATTAAGAGAATACTTAAATATAATCCTCTCTGCTCTGATCCGACATCCTTACATACTGCCTGACTTTTAACACTAACCCTTTTAATATGTATTACTGTAATAATAGCCCTTTTTTCACAAGGCAATGTATCCTTCAATGTATTGCCAGATGGACTGATTGCTAGTGTGAAAGGTTTGTTGTGAAACCATTCATGTAGGATACATCCCATTATCTCTAAGACTATTGGCTGCCTAGAGAATAATTAACTTATCAAAGATTTCAACAACTGTGTGTTTCATCCTTGAACAATTAAATTTACAGAGAAGTTTTCAACTATTTACATTTAATCAAAGTAAATAAATTACTGATCGAATTAGAAAATTATACAATATTATTTATTCCACTGTGCTATAAATATTTTTTTTTTATACTTTTTTTTTTTAACTTATATTGGAACCTAATGATTCTTTACGTAATACAAAGAAATAAAAGAAAAGAAAATCTAATTAAGTCTGTGAATTATGTATGGAAATAAATAAATCATGTATGAATGATCTTCATATTATTTCAAAATGATTTTCTGATTGCAGAAGAAGATGTTCTTATTATGTGCGTCATATCAAAGCCAAAACCTGATTCTCCAGAGATGAGATAAATATGGAATTAAAATACGTGTAATAAATAAACAAGTGGGTCGCGTAATAGGATATTATCTGCATTCATGTCTTTTGGATAATTTGGCACAATTTTTTTACTTTATGGATTTATCCAGTAAACTGGTATTTGGGGACTATTGACAAATTAACTGCAAATGTAAGGGCAAAATAGCTAATTTAGAAAAATGCTTCCACCAAATGAAACAATAAAACTAACCACAAATCAAAGGACTCACCCAGGGGATTATTTTTCCTAATTGCGTACCTGTTCAATCACAAACTCAGTTCATCACTATTAAGAACTAAAATATTTAGTGATTCCTTTTTTATAATTAAATCCTATTACGATTTGAAAATAAACAAATAAAAAAAACAAAAAACAAAACCTCAGTCTTTGTTTTAAAAATGTAGAAATAGGGAATGCACAGCAAGCAGCCATCTGTCAGTTCCTTTATGACTTGTCAATCTCTCCTTTGATAATATAAAGCAATGTCTATTTGATTTGCGCCCTTCGGCCATCAATGTCATTATGCAAAGACGGGTAAGTCCGATCACTAGTGCATAAACTGCTATATTTAATTGATGACTGAGTAGCTTATTAGACTTGGGGGTGGGGGTTAGACACTAACATAGAAAATGTAGCCAATTGAAATTCAAATTTCAAAAACAGCCAAGCTATGCCTATTGCAGAGCCTAAGAATTTTTTGAGTACAGCTTGTTTGTTTAATATATCCGTTTGGATGATAATTCTATACAATTTGGTTTAGTGAAAAAAGACCTTCAGATAACTAATGATATTTATTCCCTGTGGTTAATAAAAATCGTTAACAATCTAGCTATTGCCATAATTTGTTTCACCAAACCTTTTTTGTTTATCTAGTGTCACGCACTCGACGATAATTTTGTACTACATTTGTGCTACATTTTGTGCTTCCCGTGTAGTACATACTTAGTATGGTTAATACTGCTTGTTTTTAATCTTGCTCTAATAATTTAAGTCATTATTTCACTTGTGTTTTTAAGATATATGGGGTATGTATACTTTAATTAGGATGAGTTATGACCAAATTAGGATTTTTATGACCATACAAGTTATTTACTGGATTCATCGAGCAAAGCGATTCATCATTTTAATCAAGTCCCAATGAAATATGCTTTATTATCGAATTGTGCAAATAGAAAGCAGCTACATAAATGTTCTGTTGTTGTTTTGCTGTTTAGATTCAAGGTGAAATCTTGGCAAAATCTCTTAATTTGTCATTATTTTATTTCGAGCAATGTTCACAATACCGAAGACAGATTTACGTGTTTTGTTTTTTTTAATCTCGCGTTTAGGTATGTTAGGTGGTTTGTATAATTTTCTAGCCCGTTTTTATTAGTTATCTCAACACAGAAAGAAAATAAATAAGAGACGAAAAAAAATATTTAAGCATTCACTATAAACCAAACCGCTTCCAGGTTGGATAGTACAAAATTATTTAATTTAAATATATATTATATAATATAATTTAGTAGAATATTTACATTTAAAATAAGTAATTACAACTCAGGTCAAATCTAAACATAAAATTTAAATAAAATTAAAATATATATTAAAAGTTTCACCAGGGCTCATATTCAATTTGTCAATGACCAGTGGGTGTGTAAAAATTTAACAACTCTGTTTTACAACCCATTCTGCAATTGTAAAATTAGCTCAATGAGTCATTCTTGTGGTGCAATATAATTTACATTAGAATATCATTCATAAAACACTTTAATTAGCCGTTTCTCATTAACACAAGTGCTCCTGCTATATTTGGGGAAATTAATTCTCCTACTATAAACAACATTTTGTGTGTGCCTGATAAATACAATGTGCTTGACCCTACTGAATTAATAATGGCTCTCATTTTTGGGTTTTGGCCTAGAAGTTGAGATTCACTGTGCTACATTAAGGAGTAAGATTGGCAAGAAGGTTAGTGTCAGAGGAAAAACACTACACCCTGATTGGAACAGCAGACAGCATTAAAGCTGAATGTTGCACATAATTTTTATACCATTACCTAATTAAAAAATGAATGAGCACATTTATATATTGGTTTCAATGCACAGGTTCTGTATCCGTGTAGGACAGTAGTCTAATTTCAGTATAATTATATTCCTTGAGTACATGACTGTCCAATGAGCCCAATTTAAAGCAAACACATTATTTATTCCAAACTTTACTGATCACATTTAGCATTTGGGGTACTTTACCATCACCATATGAATTTCACTAACAAAACTATATATTTTTACATCTGTAGAGAATATGATTTTTTTAAATTTATTTCATTATACAAATTATGGACCAATCAAGTATCATTCTCACGATGTACAACAACCTTTCCCCTCATTGACCAACATTATATTAATGTGATTGTCTAAAGCTTGCTTCCATGTCTTTGTCTCTGAAATTGTTAACAGATGAATTTTAATGCAACTATATCAATTTCCTTGGATGAATCTGATTAAAATAAATAAATAAAGGAAAACCGAGATAAATCAGAACAGATGAATACATAGTTGCCATACTGTAAAAAAAAAAAAAAAAAGAAAGAAAGATCTTGTGAAGCTTAACAGAGGGTCCAAAAACTTGAACAGATGGCCTGCCAAAGCCCACCAGCCTGCAACAAACTATCGACTTGGTGAATAAGGGAGACACATAGCAATTAGGAGAGGGTGCAATAAAGCAATTTGATGATTCTTAAACATCTGTTTAAAAGCTAAAGACAACTGCTGATCATAAATTGTGTGGTTTACAATTGTTTAATTTAACTTTTTAAAACCGTCTGTGATCATTACTGAAGGAACAGTTTAAAAAATAAATCGAGTATTTTATGCTATTTATGAATATTACCTTGAATGCAATATGTCTTACACAGAACCATCTGCTCAATGTTCGACAAATTGGTGAAAATGGCTTTCACTTTTCTAATGTTTTAATCCGAGTTATTATCCCAACACACTACAGCCAAATGATGATCATGTTCTGATAAATTAAATCTAAATGTTTCTTTTCAAATCTGTCGACAATATAGTTACTGTACGTTTATATATTTCCAGCTAATCCGTAATCCTTCTCGGAAGTAACAGATGGAACGTGCCCTTGGACAAAGGGGATGCAATTCTAATCTGTACATGCACAATATGGACTGAATATCTGATACACCATCTATCGTTGATATATCGATGTATAAATTAACTGTCATTTTATTGCTACTTGAGCTAACAAATCCATTGGTATATTTGTGTCAAGTGCACCTCTGTAATCGATTCCTTTTCTTTCTGTATAATTAAGTATGGATTTGTGCTACATAATTGAGAAATGTGTGGCTACGGACAGAACATTTTGTTAGTGCTAGCAGTGCGTTGCCGTACCTCGCATAATGCATGGTAAGCGTGCATGTATCGTATTATATACACTGTTTAGCTAGTATGCTACATTGATCAGGGAAGACAGTCTGCAGTTTGCCATGCACCCGCTATTTTTTTATATAACTGCATGTGGCATCAATACGAAAATTGGATACATTTATCTTAAACAGCAAAATTCTGCACGCCTCTACGAATCTCTTTCTCTTCAAATTTTTGAATATCAGGCAGCCAGTGGTTATTAGAAATTGTGACTTGGCTTTTATGTTTTTCCCTCGATAAGAGATAATAAGATATAATAGAGATAGCAATACACACATGACAATGGCTTTGTACACAGCATATTGACAGTCCTGGCCAACACAACCCTTGTCTCTCATTCTATCAGGTCTTCCAAAAGCCCTGATTTTGGTGGAATAGTCCCTATTTTAGGGTCCTGTTACAACATACAAACTTTGATCCTTGTTGTCGTACTTTTGGGGACACGAGGGAACTGTCCCCAAAAAGTGTAGCACTAGCCCATTTTTAGACATGCATGCAGTGCACTCAGGGTGGTAGAACATCTTACTAGGACCTGCATGATAGGCCTTACTGGGCTGGTCTGAGTAATTGGCAGTCAACCTGGTATGAATTCATGCCGGTCAGACCTGCCTATTCTTCAGAACTTTTCAGGTCTTGTCCTCTACCCACTAAACAGGTAGATATTACTTGTTCTGACCGATCCTTCTTTCAGGTAGGAATTAATTTCTCTGAGTGCTCCAATACCTTCTTTACACAGATGCTTTACACTCAGAATCTTTCCACATACATATAACCATGCTCCCCATCCCAAATAACAGAGGCATCACTCATCATCTTCGGGGTCAAGAATACCCAAGATGCCTCCAACAACCCAATATATAACCAAAACAATAAATGCAAATATGTGCAAATTCCCTAGCTTAAACATTCTGCAACAATAAAAATAGAGTAGGGCTTCAAACGCAGGTCCATCCTGTTACAAGAATAAAGTAGATGGCCCAGCAAATACTTAGTTTTAAAATTTTATTTTACACCTTTTTTGTCCTATAACTCCCCAAAAACATATTCGAAATCCTAGACCTATAATGCAGAATTATTAAGTGAATCTATTTTGAGTTATTTTTTCATTGCAATAGTTGTGTGAAAACGATTGTCAGAAAGGCTGTAAAAATGTTTTTTTTTTAATGTTTACCATTTTTGAATGTTTTATTCATGCAAAATATTGTGCTACAAAAACAAATACATTATCAGATGAAATCCCTTTATGACTTTAAAAAAATGTAAATATATAGTGGTGCAATGAATTCAGGCCTCCCAACTTTTCCAAATGAGGTGGGACATTACCAGTTTTGAGGTCTTGTCCCAGGCTGGTTCACTGGTATAGAGCTTTTGGGAACTCCAGAGAACTGTCCTCAGAAAGGATAGCATGAGCACATCTTTAGACACACTCTTGCTACGCTATGGGCAGCAGGACCATTGCAGAGCACTGTTATAGCAATCCGTGCACAGTATGCCTTTAATAGCGTGTTCACATCGGACTGACGTGCCTTTTTTTGCAGCTTACCTTAGTCTGCCTCATTTTGGCCCTCCCACTGGTGCCCGACTTGTCAGGAGGTGATCAATTCTTTTTAATGCATTATATATATATATATATATATATACATATATATATATATATATATATATGTATATATATATATGTATATCATAAAAACACATAAAAATACATGAAAAAAATTAAATAAAATGAAAACACAAAAACAAATAACCACACACAGAAACTTCTGCACTGCACTTTTATTAAACAAGGAAGTGACTCGTCCAGTCATGGTGTCTCTAAACTTTCATACACTGCTAAGCTTAAGTAGTGGGGGGGTTTCGTCACAGCTTGGTTTTAGGACGTTGTAGTTCAATTATCAACTTTCTACTGTAGACAGCTAACAGCTGAGCCATTTTTGTTCTGGAAAGGGAAACACCAAAGATTTGGAGGATGGCTAGACTTATGGAGAAAAACTAATTATTTTAAAGTATACATCAATTAAAAAAAAAAAAAATCCAGTACAACTAAATTGTACAGCGTTGCAACATATGTTGGAGCTATATACATCATTGTAATTATAAATGTACCTGCAATCTAGCCTAAACATTGCGCCTAATGTGTGTTTGTCTGGCCTGTCTCTATATAATTGAGTAACTTACATCCATAAAGGTCATTTAATTTGAAAAAGTCTTTTGTAACAATTAACTGTAACAGTGTATTCTTTTTTTCTAAATGTAAAAAAATATATAATTTATAGACCTATTTCTGCGTCTGTTCCCACATAATACATCCGCACGTTTATCCTTATTTACTAGATTGTGTAATTAAATATGGATATTTGTATTAAGCTGCTTTGCTTTATCAGTAACCCCGTATGTTACAGTTATGGGATGTAGTTATTGAGATAATTCTAAAAAACAACAACAACCTTGCGTTAGTTTACGGGAGGAGGCGGAGGTTTTGTGTAGGAAAAGAAGAAAGTTTTTAAAATGATTTTCTTGCATTACATGTAGTTGGGATAAACTCTGTATATATATCCCCAGGACGTACATGAAAACCAGAGAAATCTGAATGTACCGTTCCTGGTTAAATACTGTATTATTATTATTTCTACGTTTAATAATATTATGCCTAAATAATTACCAAATAATAGTGACTGTAAAATAGGAATAATAACAATAAGAACAATATTATGATTTTATTATTATCATTATTATTATTCTTTAGTATTACTATCATTCTAATAGACAGGTTTATGGAAACAAGCTTACAAGTCTAAAATCGTACGTACGGCAAATCATAAGTAAAAGGTTTATAAAACAGAACATGTTGTCTACGTTTTAGGTTTGGCTAAATTTGTTTTTCAATGAATTTTCTTGCAAGCAAACTAATCATCAAAGCAGTTTCCAGTGAAAGGTAGTTTTGTTAAGTATGAAGAGAGCCGACTATGAGTCTCTGGCAGTTCATTTAAAATAAATTCTAGACTCTTGAGTGAAACGAATTACTCCGTGCCCTTTGTTTACATTTGCATTAAACAGTGCAGTACAGTTCGGCATTTTGCCGAGAGCCAGGGGGATCCCCATCCTTTGGGATGCCTTGTAGACACTACGTCTCCAATCAAACCTCATTATGACGCTAATTTGTTGAATAAAAAAATATGTTTGTGGTTGCATTAATGGGTCTTTTACCGAGATATCTTTCCAAATGTAACCTAATATGTGGTGCTTCCAATTTTATACATTATTAATTTTTACCTGAAGTGAACCAATGTTCGCAATAAAAAAGTCACTATGTTTCTACTTGAGCTGAATGGACAATTCACATTACCTGTTTGACTGAATTTAATTCACCAGTCATTTAATCCTACTTCCAGCACATGCGTTAGTTTTATGTGGGTGTCTTTGTTTAAAATGAACTCTCCTGCCAAACTTTAAAATAATCTTTTGGATCTACATATACAAGCTTACACAGCTCATTGTGCACATATCCAAAAATACAAATAAAATCATGTCACTGTATAGCCCAGACCCGGGAACAGCGAAACCAGTGTGAAAATGAGTGTAAATACAGTGTAAATAAACCAGACTCATCAATGGGCTGCTTATGCAGACATTAATATGCCGCCAAAAAGCTTCCATAACAATAAGTCTCTGTGGAGCTCAAACCGCATTCAGTCTATAGTTCAAAGATGGAAGGGACCCTGGGGGCGAAGGGTCACTAACCTCTTCTAACCTTTCTGATTCACTGTATAAATTCTGTAACTTGGAGTTGCTGTACGAGTATAGTAAAAGTAAAAAGTAAAATAACAAAATAAAAGAGTATTTGAGTATGTGGATATTTATATACACACACATATACAGCGCTACAGAACTTACTGTCCCTATATAAATAATAAAATAATAATAATAATAATAATATATTCCCAGAAAAACAGATTAATTGCAGGTAAGGACTGGTCTTAGTGATAAAACTAACATAGAGAGGGCCCTGGTGCAAGAATTTGTATGGGACCCACCATCCAAAAGGTAGATCCCCATCATTATACAGCTTCAACAATGCTTTGCCATCATTGTAGGGTTGTGTTTAGCACCGAGCAGTGATTGAATGTAAGCTTGTTTTTGTATGGAGTATGTGTGTGTGTGCATGTGTGTGTGTGTGTGTGTGAATGTAGGGTGTGTTTGTGGGTAGTGTTGGCATTTGAATGCATTTGTGTGCTTGTATTTACTGTTGCCATTTGCAAGCAGTGCACTTGTGTGTAGTGTTTGCTGATGAATAAGGTTGTGTTTGTATGTAGTATTGGCGTTTGACTGTAGGCAAGAATTTGTGTGTAGAGATGTATGCATACATATACTTATGCTTATACTTATGCACACATACACACAGTGACACACATGTAGATACACAGAAACACACACTGACACATGCAGATACACAAATATACAGATACACACACACACAAAGACTGATACACAGACACACAGATAAACACACTGACACACATACAGATACACAGGCACACATATAAACACACTGACACATACAGATACATAGACACACAGATGCACACACCGACATACATACAGATACACAGACACACAGATACACACACTGACATACATACAGATACACAAACACACATCAATGTTTATAGCTCTCTAAGTCAGGGTTATTCATTAAACTTTAAATTTTAGCAAATTAAATCTGAATTTCAAAACCACTAAATTGTTAACTAACTTGTAAGTGATTTCCAAATTGTCTATTTTAACCTCAGCTTTGCAATTCTTATTTAATTCACAGTAATTTGTAGTCTACCTTGATAGCTATCTCTGTCTGTTTATTTTATATTTATACTTTTTAGTGTGTCTATGTACATTCTCTGTATACTTTTGAATCATGCACTGCACGGCCCTTGATGACATCCATGCATTATTCTGCAAACTAATTTAACAGTCACAGGGCTAGTCGCTACAGTAAGAATTCAAAGGGGATTCAAATTGAAATTCTAATTTAAGGCCGAGTAGTTGAAGTGGAAGCACAGCTGTCTTAGAGAATTTTTCCAGATTAACTATTTTCAATTTGAAAATTCCCTTTGATTCAGGGGCAGACTGAGAATATGGGCAAATCGGTCATGGACTGAGGGCCCGAGGCTCTTGGGGGCCCTTCCCTGCTGCAGTGCAGTAATGGCTGAGCTGGGGAGTAAAACAATCTCCCCAGCCAGCCTGCACTCAGTAAGGGGCCCGCAGAAGGCTGCTGCTACAAATGTTCTCCTCTGTGCAGGACACACTGAGGGACAGCTAAGGGGCCTTCTCAAAGACTCCCCTAGGCTGCCCCTCGGTGTGGCTGTCTCAGTGTAACACTGCTCATGGTAGCTCGGTGCGGCTTGTTCTGCAGCAAGTGTCATCATCAGTCACAGTGCAGAGTGAGCTGTGCGGAGCTGCCCTGAGCAGATTTACAAGCAGCATGTTTGGGGCAGTGAGAGACCTCCAGAAGAGAAGGTAAGACTTGGAGTGGGGGGATTTAAAAAAAAATATTTTATTTAATTTTTATTTAAAATATTTAAATTGTATAATCTCCCCCACTACTGCCCCAGCAAAGCCCTGATACCCCCAAAGCCCCTAAAACTTTACACTAAATACAACTCTATCATCCAAAGGCAGCCCCTACACCCTCTGCAGTACCTACCCCCACTCCCTCTGCAGCCCATATCCCTGCTCTCCCCTGCAGCCCCTACCCCCCACTCTCCCCTGCAGCCCCTACCCCATGTTCTTCCCAGCATGCCCCTACCCCCTGCTCTTCCCAGCATGCCCCTACCCCCCTGCAGCCCTTACCCTCTGCATCCTCTACCCCCTTGATCCCTCTGCAGTCTGTACCCCGTGCAGCGTGTACCCCCCTGGAG